CCCAGCTACTTGGGAGGCTGAGGCAGGAGACTCGCTTGAGCCCAGGAGTTGGAGGTTGCTGTGAGCGTGATGCCATGGCACTCTACCCCTGGCATGGGGCACTCTATCCCCCAGGGGGGGATAGCTTGAGGTAGCTTTAATGTTCACTCTATCCCCCATGGGGCACTCTATCCCCCAAGGGGGATAGCTTGAGGCTCCGTCTCAAAAAAAAAAAAAAAAGATATGAATTTGTTTTAAAAGTACTAACTTTTCACATGGGTACTTTTTTAAGTAGTTCAACAAAATGAATATTGTGGTTATTATAATTTTTCAAATTCAGCTTCCATTTTGGCAGAAATCTAGCACAATATTCTAACTTCTGAGTTTTTAGTATTGTTAGTAAGGTTTTTACATGAGGGAAAAACTCCTGAATTGTTACATAAAAATTATTGAGAATTTAGTGTTTTGTTTTTTTTTTTTTTTTTGAGACAGAGTCTTAACTATGTTGCCCTCGGTAGAGTGCTATGGCGTCACAGCTCACAGCAACCTCAAACTCTTGGGCTTAAGACATTCTCTTGCCTGAGCCTCCTGAGTAGCTGGGACTACAGGCACCTACCACAATGCCTGGCTATTTTTTGTTGCAGTTGTCATTGTTGTTTTAGCAGGCTTGGGCCAGGCTCGAACCCGCCACCTTCTGTGTATGTGGCCAGTGCCCTACTCACTGAGCTACAAGAGCCAAGCCTGAGAATTTAATTTTATAACATGCACTCTCTTGCCGTCGAGCTTTTTAAATATCTTTAGTAAATGTTGATTGACCTAAATTTTAAAATTTATTTTCTTTACCTTGACTTATCCAAGATTGCAGAAGAGGGTAAGATACTAGAGTAATGGCCAGAGGGTGACTTAGCATCCTCTCGCCCTGACTTGTCTGTAACCCTCCATATTGCCCCACTGTAGGCCTGTGATCAAATGCTAGTGGTCCCTTATTGCCACCATCCTTGGCCCTCCTTATCTCCATTTTTCTTTGTCTGGGCCATTCATTTCTTAGCCTATATGGTAACCTAATGAAGTGTCTTTCCAACCTCGTTAGTAAATAATTGCATAATTTTTACTGTGAGAAAAATATGAAAAACACTTTAATAAAAAATATTAAGAAAAACACGTTTGTCTTTTAAAAACTTTTTATTAGAATTTTCAAACCTTGGCCAGGCATGGTGGCTCACAACTGTAATAGTAGCACTCTGGGAGGCAGAGGTGGGTGGATTGCCTGAGCTCATGAGTTTGAGATTAGCCTGAGGCAGAGTGAGACCTCTTCTCTAAAAATAGCTGGGCATTGTGGCAGGCGACTGTAGTCCCAGCTACTTGGGAAACTGAGACAAGAGAATCACTTGAGCCCAAGAGTTTGAGGTTGCGGTGGCAACAAAGTGAGACTGTCTCAAAAAAAGAATTTTCAAACCTACACAAAAGTAGGGTAAATGATAAACACTCAGGCCCCCATTACCAGATTTCTAAAAAATTATCACTTTTCTGTTACATGTTTTTATTAAGTATGCAGTTCAGTGAGTTTTAATGTTCATTAAAATTGTGAAATCTATATCCTAGAGAGTTTAGAAATAGACCCATACTTGAATAGTCAATTGATTTTTTTGTTTTTGAGACTGAGTCTCACTCTGTTGCCCAGGCCAGAGTGCCATGCAGTCAGCCTAGCTCACATTGTCCTCCTGCCTGAGCCTCCCAAGTAGCTGGGATTATAGGTGCCTACCACAATGCCTGCTGATTTTTTTCTATGTCTAGTAGAGATAGGTCTCACTCTTTCAATGCTGGTCTCAAACACCTGCGCTCAAGCGGTCCTCCTGCTTCTGCCTCCCAGAATGCTAGGATTATAGGCATGAGCCACTGTGCCAGGCAGGTCAGTTGGCTTTTGACAAAAGCACCAAAGGAAGTCGTTAGGGAAAACTTGTAACTTCATCATGGAAGGTACCAAAAACCTTGATATGTCTTGTTAACTTTCTCTACAGACAGGTATAAAAATCTTCCCACAGCTTCACGAAAGCTGCAGTTCCTGGAGTTACAGAAGGAGCTAGTAGATGATTTTAGGATACGATTAACTCAGGTGATGAAAGAAGAGACTAGAGCTTCCCTTGGCTTTCGATACTGTGCAATTCTTAATGCTGTGAACTACATCTCGACAGTACTAGCAGACTGGGCTGACAATGTTGTGAGTTAATGTGTTTTTATGTTAAGTCTTATGTTAGTAGTTCGAACTGTTTTACATTTCAAAATGTTGAATCTGCTGCAGGCCAAAATATTCATATTAGAATCACAGTGATGTCAAATTGAGAAGTGAGATTAAAGTACACATTTTTCTCTATCAAATCTCAACTAGATAAATAATCCTGATATTTTAGTGTACTTAATCATTGAAAAAGAAATTAAACCTTTCATGACATAGTTGTTTATATCATGAACTTTTTTCTTCTTTCAATTTTGTATGCAGGAAATATAGTAGAACCTCTGAAGTTGATCACCCAAACTGGTAAACAGATGGAGGTGGTCAACATAAGGAAGTAGGCTTACTGTACTCTTATGTACATGTGGTACATGCCCAGTCTATGAAAATTAGGTCAACTTAAGGAGGTGGTCATTGTACAGAGGTGAGGTTCTACTATAGTTACATATGGTAATTGCCATCACAGAAAAAGCTTACATTAAATAATGGTTTCAAAATCAATAAAATCTAGGATTTTTTTTTATTAAATGTTAGCTATGTACAATAATGCAATCATGGAGTACAATGTGGTGTTTTCATATACAATTTGAAATATTTTCATCAAACTGGTTAACATAGCCTTTACGTCATTTTCTTAGTTATTGTGTTAAGACATTTATATTCTACTTTTAGAAAGATTCACTTGTACCTAAAATCTAGAATTTTAAGGAAAATAAAAGAATAATATTTGATACCTCTTGAATGTCTTAAAAAATGACAGATTGGCTCGGCGCCTATAGCTCAACCGGCTAAGGCGCCAGCCATGTACACCTAAAGTGGCGGGTTCGAATCCCCAGCCCGGACCCGCCAAACAACAATGA